CCCCCTCGCATGGTTCCGCGTTAACACCCCGGGGGAAGGATGTTGTAACGTCGAAACATGTAGCGTCGTTAACTTTTTGAAAGCCATAGATAAGCCTACATAAAATGTTTTTAATTGTGTACCCGTTTAACGTTGAATATTATTTATGATTTTAACACTATGAGAAACTTCCTTTAGCAGAGCCAACAGTCCTTTACATACATGTACCCATCCTGGCTGTTATTGTGAAACATTTAAAATCTTAAAACAATACATTTAACTTGTTTTAACCCAAAAAAAGTATTTATTTTTTGGCATTAAACATCCATTTTAAGTTTTAAAATACTTGTCTATCCAAATTAATATTGATCCAAGAGAAACTCTTTGAAGTACGAATTTCATTCAGTATTTTAATATCATATGTTTACTTAGGTTGTTCTTTAATACGTCAAATTACGCTTAACAATATTTATGTAACGAAAAACTTAGGTCTTAAACCTAACTTTATTACTTATATCACTTGAAAAGTTATAACTAATTACCTTCTTTTGCTACCAACTGGCGCCCCCCGTGGCACAGCGGTATGTCTGCGGACTTACAACGCTAGAAACCGGGTTTCGATACCCGAGGTGGGCAGAGCACAGATAGCCCATTGTGTAGCTTTGTGCATAACTACAAACAAACTACCAACTGGCAAAAAAATTTCTGCTTTATTAAAGAATCTTTGCAATACCATTTAAACTATAACTTCGTATTCTTTGTGTTTCAGAATACGAAAATTCTAATATATCATTTTTTTAAATACGTAAGAAATTCATAGTTACTGTTAGTGTTATTAAAACTGATAGCTTCTTTCCAGTAATCTGCTACCTAATTTAAATATGACGGGCAGTTTAAGCTGATCAAGAATGCTCTGTAACTGTTAATTAAACTTTTTTTTATCCCAAAACGTTTCCATTTATATAGTTTTTCAATTTGACTTGAAAGAAATTTAAATTTTGCAATCAAATTTATTCAATGAACACCATGTTTATATAAAATATCACTATGCATTGTCACTCACTATACTCTCGTTATCTCTTCCAGTTCTACCCATATATCACTAAACATTGCCTAAGTTGCGCAAGACGATAAGCATGTAATTTCCCTCCCACTCATGTCATGTGCTTTCACTTTTTTACATTGACTTTCAAAAACAATAACTCTTGAAATCATAGGTTTTCTCATACTTCCTACATCAAAAAAATAGAATTCCCACAAATTAAATTAATCAGTCATTCATATTTATTTAGTTAACAAAAAACAACTTAAACCATGTACATAAAACCATATAAGTAAACACTATTACATTCTCATATATATAGTGAACATTCTAAACCAAAGCATCAGTGTTTCAGATTAAAAAGTGCTATGTCTCGTTTAAATTCTACCTCACAAAGGAAAGGTTAATAGAATGGCATGTCAAAAATAAAAACTGAAATATATGTTTTTCATTTCTAGGAATGTTAAATTTTTTATTGTAAATATCTTTTTAAACTTATCTGTATTATGCAATGTTTAAATAAGTGACTCATTGGTTGTGTGTAATACCATTGCTTGATAATTTCGTGTTTATATCTTATATGCAATTGAGAAAGCTGTAGAAGTACAGGAAAGGCGTTTGTTTTATCGTTCTGCGCAGGTGTATGTGGCAACTATATCACTATACAGTTTGCGCCAAAAAATAATATACAAATGTACATAATCGTTAATTTTATGATACATTTGGTGAGAAGCTATTACTAGATTGCGATTCTAAAGTGAAACAGGTGCTTTAGCTAATTCATGAGCAGTTTGTCATGTATTAATAAACAGAAATGACAAGTCTGTTTTAAAACGCCAGCAGTTGTTTAGCTGTAATACTGCACATACTACACTAATTATTCTAAAAGATTTATTAAGAGCGTCACTTGATGCTTCTTCCAAAACCAGTTTTATTTAACGTAACGTTACTGAATTTTAAAAGATTAAAGCATGCTTATTATCAGCGGTGTTTGTTACGATGACGCATAAGCCTTAATTTAAGCTTACTTGGAGATAAGTTACATGAATATATCCATCAATTTAAACATTTCTTTGATAAGCTTACCTTGTTCGAAACTGCAATACACATGTTATATTTTAGCTAGTCATATTTTGGTAATTAAATATACTACGACCAGTATTTTTGTTCTTGTGAATTATTTTATCGGATTCAAGTCTACACTGTAAGCAATCGTATATCAATGAAAGTTATAAATATATGAATTCTAAAAAATAACAACAGAAAATAAACCGTATCTTTAGTAATTAACAGTGTGTAACCCGTCATAAGTTTTTCAAATCCAGACTTCATAAGCCATTAAATGTACAAAATAAAAATTAACATAACAGACCGAGTCATGTATGTATATATTTTATAATTATTATTTTTTTGTGCGTTTACTGTTATGTATACCACAAATTGTGAAAGTCATATTGAAAACCACTCATTTATTTCATTTACAGACCTGATTCTATCTATAGTAATAGTCCATAGCTTGATAACTCTCTGACTATGTTTACAGTTGGTTCTGAGTTCTAAAACAGAAAAAAGTACCAATTTTTAGTCCTGGCGGATCTGCAAATACATGGAACGGTATGCCTAATGGAAGGTCATGACTGGAACACTTTCTTTTAATTTGTTCTTCAAATGCTCTCTTCTGTTCTTCATCAGCAGTTGTAATGGCTACAACGTCCCAGAAAGGTACATGAAAATATTTCTTTTCTCTTCCTGAAATAAAATAAAATTAATAAATGTGTAATATTAATTATTTATGTAATACGTTCAATCTTAATACACATAATAGTACTGAGTTAACTTGATATGACCATTCGTGTTCGATACTTCAGTATGTTTCAGTGTTCAAGTGAAACATTTAAGTTTTCTACACGTATTTAATGGTTTTCCAAAGCTAGTTTCCACACACAAAATTATTTAAAGTTTTGGTACGACGACTGGATTAATAAATTATATATATATATATATACGAAAGTAAACATCTCTGAACCTATTATGAGTTTGCATGGGAATTCATAGTGCATTACTTTAAAACACACCTACATAAATATATATCGACATTTGACAACCATATTACACAGAAAGTGATACACATACACAAACTAACTGTAATACAAATTAATATGTAAATCTCGAATATTTCAAAACAGTTTGGGTGAACTAGGGAAGTGATGTCCAGGTCTGGGATCTTGTTAGCTAAATTTACTAAATCATATGATCTTGAGAGAGATTGTAATGTTTGATTTGTTTTCTTCTATATTTCATCTATAAGCACAATTTCCATGGACTAATTATAAAAAAAGATATTGATCCCTTATATTGGATTTGCTGTTACTGTCATCCACTTTTCGAAGATGATACTGTGATTTCATCCTCTCAGGTTCGTGTCGAATTAGGGGCCTTTCATACACCCAAGGAGTGATCTATAAATCGAAATAGGTAAGGCAATTTTTAAAAACTCACATATCATTCTGATCCCCTCTCACAAACGAGGCCTTTCCTCGGTCCTTATTTCAGGGTCCTGAGATGACCACTAAGTGAGCATCAGATTTTTTCTGTGATAATTCAATTTGTGTATTTCTTGGACTCATAACTGAACACTCGCACACCAAGTAAGTGCTTCACCAACTGATCTAAAAGATTAACCCTCTAATGTTTGCAAGCGAGGCACTTGTTAAGAATTCAAATTTCCTTGTACAGAACAATACATATTGCATGTTTTAGAGCCGAGTCCATAAACTAGTAAAGCTGAGTACTTTTAATAAAACTGAATTTTTGAAATTGTGCTACCTCGAAACATTATATATATAGCCAATGGTTCTTTAACAATGTCTTCTTTTTTACATTTAATTACTTCACTTCCATCTCATTGACGCGGCCACAGCATTCACTTGTCAGTTTCTTTTTGATTTCATTTTTTTATGATATATTAGATGACATCCTTAATTTAACTGTGCATACACAAAATCACTTGACCATGCGTACTAAAAACAAATCAGTTTTATATGATTTATTCCCCCCCCCCCCAATGGGTCAGCAGTAAGTTTACAGGCTTACAGTGCTAAAACCCGGGTTCGATTCCCTGCGGTGAACAGAGTGCATATAGTCCATTGTGTAACCAACAACAATTAAATTAATTATTAAATATATTTTAATATTCACCAACTTACACACAAAAATTCAATTTTAGACCAGATATATAACTTAGGTTATAAACCTACAGACTTACCACTGGGCCATGAAAGGCTTGTTTGGTTGATATGTTATAAACTCTTCAACCAGTCCTTATAATTACAAATTTTAGTTTTCTTATGTATTGATTTGACATTAGGGAGTTATAATCCATTTTGATACAGAATTGACTTCATAAATTTATGTTACTTTTTAGTTCTCATTTAGATAGTTAGTTTACTTTTGATCGGAAGTTATTATAAATCAAATCAATTTGTAAAACTGTGTTTAATGTTATGTCATTAGTAAAATATAAGATTCAGATATTTATTTTTTAAGAGATAAGACTTGTTTTTAGTCAGATATTTTAAACATATTAACTAATCATTGTAAAGTAGCATCCGGTGACATCAAAAACCACCTCATTCTCAGGTTGGAAAATTAACTCATTCTTCTCATTTACGTGTACAAAATTTACATCTACACAAAAAGCGGGGGATGGTGTTCGCTTGTTTTATAGCTGTAACTTTTAGTTATAAAATAACAATAAACTAAGTTTTAATCATTTGTTTGAATTTACCCAAGTATATTCATTACGGATTTTTTTTAACTGAACGAGAAAATTGTATTGCGACTAGTAACTACAATCAACTACGCTTTCTTCTTGTTGTTGGAATAACATTGCAAATACAATTTCGCGATATAATAACTTATATATAAATTAAAATTACAAGTTTACACACTCATTTTTTTCTTCTAAACACGCACATATTTTTAAATAGTTTAATTTGTGATTTTAAAGTATTTTATTTTATTCAGAATTTTGCACAAAGCTATACATAGATTACCTGCGCATGGCCGCCCCAATTTTGAACTTACAGACTAAACTCTAAGGCTACTCTTATGTGACTAGGTAATTGGATTTGACTGCCACTCTTATAGCGTACCCACAACTCTAGAATGCGGAGTGTGTTTTAGCGGCAACAGATTGCGAACCGAGAATTCTCGTATTCACAGTCTGTGCATAATACTGAGGTCTTACTATGATTAAACACTGCTGTATTCGTGTTGGATTACTTAATAATTGTTATAAGTGTGAATTAATCACAGATTACACTTAGTTTTTCCTCTCTGTTATGGTTTGACATAGCACTTTTGAAAAAAAAAAAAATATATATATATATATTTGCATTTGAGTTAAACATTTTTTGCTTCAATCTTATTACCCATGCAACAATAAATGTATAATAACCGAAGTGGCTAAAACTTGGAAGTTCATCTTATCTACATTTTATAAATTGTATCATGGAATGCAATAAACGGTGCATTGAAATCAGAAAATTACTGGATTTTATAATATCATATGATGTATTAAGCAAAGCGAATAAAAACTTTCATACCACAAGTCAACTGCTTTTTTGTGGTCTGCAAGTACGAATTTAAGTATTGATAACATTTTGCGAGGCTTTGCGCAAAAATTATAAAACAAACAAGAAAAATAGGTTAACTGTTGAATAATTAAACAAAAAGAAATGTAAGAAAATCGAATTAAAGGTGCAATTAAACTTTAAGCCTAATGTGTTACTAAATACAATAATAACTTTAGTTAATTAAGAACAAACTTTATTTTAACAATATAGTGTTTCAGATAATATTTCATCTAGAGTTAACGTTTTTAGTTATGTGTACGGTGCATAAGTCGCTTGGCATTATTTGATTTTTAAAAGGTAGTTTATATTACATATCCAACACTAGATGTCGCCTTCTACAAACAACGCAACCATTTTACTTATTGTTTTAATATACGCCTTACCTCTAATTTTGCAAAAATCATCCAGCACTCTTCTCATGAACGAAGCTAATTGCCGGTGTTTTTCTTCTGCCACGTCCTTCTTTGACATGAGTTCAAATAAAGTTTAATAATCATGCACTATTATTAAACGACAAACGATGTTCGGTCTTCAAAGTAACTGTTAAGCCACGTTCCAAATCGGTGGTATTGCAGAGGGCGTTTTCACATAACAGGGTAAGCTGCATAAAATATTGCCTTTTTCATTATTATTTCTAGAAGGGAGTTGGCGTTAGGTAAAAGAAACGTGACACTAAGTAAAAAGTGTAAAACGAAACAAAAACGTTTATGAACAATCTGCTTGCTTTGTGGCCGAAGAAAATAAATGTAAATTGTTCTTAATGGGTGCTATAACACAAATATTAATTTATCATCTGAATCATTGTTTGTTCTCGTTATGAAATCTAAATCACAAAAGACTGGGCATAATGTTTAAAAAAAGCCCTTTGAATTACGATAGGACTAACAACCTTGACTTATATAATACCTTGCATACCTCCTGTCTTGCCAATACGAATAGCTAAAAAAAAGCGACTTTCATTATACATTATATAAATAGTAATGAGTCTTTTTAAAATGTGTGCATTTTTAACACACAGTATAATTGTAAACTTTATTTTTATTAAGTGCTTTAATACCATATTCGTGTGTCTTAATAAACACGTGACGTATGATAAAAAATGTTTCACCATTTTAACGCTCTGACACATGCTCTTGACCGCAAAGGTCGCATTGGGAGAGTGACAGTGTGTGCTGGGCGATATGAGAGCTTTACTAATGTTTGTTTGTTATAGATTTCGAGCAAAGCTACACGAGGGCTATCTGCTCTAGCCGTCCCTAATTTAGCAGTGTAAGACTAGAGGGAATGCAGCTAGTCATCACCACCCACCGCCAATTCTTGGAATACTCTTTTACCAACGAATAGTAGGATTGACCGTCACATTATAACGCCCCCACGGCTGAAAGGACGAGCATGTTTGGTGTGACGGGAATTCGAAACCGCGACCCGTAGATTGCGAGTCGAGCGCCCTAATCACCTGGTCATGCCGGGCCCTTTACTAGTGTACACAGAAGATTACACACAGATATACTGTTCTCTAGCACTATGAGTGGTTGGCTATAAAAAACATTTAGTTGTAGATATAAACTGAATAACTTTTTTATATTCATATTCTTAGTTCTTGAATTCTTGGGACTTAGCTCCAATTTCAGAAGCCAAAGCAATGCTTTTATGTGCTTCGGCAACACTACACCCCTGCCAATAACTGTGTAAAACTGGTCTATAAACATTAGTTGTCAGGATGTGTTGTCCCTGTAACCTGTTTTCGAGTAGATCAAAAATAGATGGAAGCCTCAATAAAGTTTAATATCAGAACTACATGGAAAAGTAGTTGTTCTATTGTATGTGAAAAGCAGGTGTTTCTATTAATTTTAGTTCAGAACATGCATTTTATGCACCTCAAAAAGCAAATCCAATTGCACTTTTATGAGTTTGGTGCACATATCGAGCGTATAGCATATACAGACCGAATTTGAAAGGAGTGATCTTGATCTTATGTTAGTTACACACTGCTCAAGGATTCATCCCCCTTTGTAATTTCTGTACTTTTCCATGAAAGATGTTGCTCGAAAAATCCTTAGATTATAGTAATTTGTTTTCTTGTAGCATCAGTCATATAGAAGTTAGAAATACTAGAGTAAATCTTCCCTAATTCTACTTACAGGATGACCACAGGGATATAGCAAGTACAACGAGTGAAGAGAAGGTCTTTAAAAAAAATGTGGACATCTCCTTCTACATAAACAACTTAAGTGACTTACATGAAAGTCATGTGTTTCTTTAAAAAATCATTAGATAATGGTCGTTTGATTCCCACCTCCTGGCTACGCCCATGGATTAAGATATATGTGCGGCAATGAAATATGCGAGACTCGATTTTATTCAGTAAGTATGTAGTAGTAAATTATTTACGTCCATGCATTATTACCTCGAAATTTTTCCAAATATTGCTTGATTCAGATATTTCCCAATTATGGAAGTGAGTTTATCTCACATCTTTGTGAACATATATAAACGAGTTGTATTTGTTTTTGTCTTGAATCACATAAATATATAAAATATTTTCATTTTATTGTCAAACCATAGTCTCTTTCTTCAATTCAGTGAAGTTAGATTTCAATTCAACTCTATTTACACTTTCTGCTAAACCTGTTGTTAGAGTGGGCATTATTTTACCTGTAGGAAATCAGTGTACCTGAGAATAACAGAGAAAGGAAGTAAAATAGAAACTTTGGTGCTGTGACTGCAGGATTTGTCTTTATGAAGTTTCCTGTAGTTTCGAACTGTTTATTTTTCTGTATTTATTTTGGAATTTCATATAACATAATCTTGAACTTATGTACAACTTGGAAATACCATTGTTGTAGCTTGAGTTGTTAAAGTACCTTATTAGCAGATCCTAGTAGGGAATTAACATTTAGCTTATCTGGTGCCTAGGAGATCTCGAATTTCGATACGAGGCGGGAAAATAAAAAATATTGATTACTACACCATTTTATAGATGAAGGGCTTTGAGAGGGGTTGTTAACTTAAGGAAGATTGTAATCTGAAAATATAGTGCAGTATTGGAAAAGACTTCTCCAAGATGAAGACCATCACCAGAATCTCTAGTCTAGCCCAAGTTCATGAAGGAGAACCAGAGGGACCCTGTTCTCCTCCTGAACTTGAGCTTCAGCAGGCAGGAAACATGGGCAACTGAGAGGTGCTATTGTGACTTGTGGTCTAGAAGTCTAGTAGAAATCAAGTATGAAAATATGTAAAGGCCATTCAAATTATTGCTCATCAGAGGAATATAATTTTATCACTGTCATTGTCACCTGTGACCAGGAGGATATTGAAGGAACACTGAAGGACAAAGCCCGCCACCCATTACTGTCATGTCACCAGGAGAAAGAGCTAGCATTGAGTAAAGAAGATGATGACCCACCATGGAACAAAAGTGAATTTCTCTAAAGGAAGTGGAGTGCTGCTAGAACCTCAAGATCATGCAAAGTTGGAAGCAACGCCACCCCGTAAAAACCAACCTACTACAAGTAACTGCAACAACACCTTCCGTTGGCGAGGTGTTGTTGCGGCCCTATACTCCACTGGGAATTTACAGGAATGAAAAAAACAACAACTTTATAATAGAAGGAGGAGCAAGATACATTAAGGAGTAATGGTGAATTTAACTAAACTGACTGAGTTTATGCAAAGAGATAAACATACTGAACACAATGTGTAATACAAAAATAAAAACAATCTTTATTTATCACCAAGACAGAAACGCAATGTGTGTACCTGCTTTCTGGACACTGAATAGTTGCCTTCTCTTGGAGTAGTGAATTGATCAAGTGAATTTATTCCTTCAAAATGCCTTCTCATCCACCAATTCACTTGAAATTCTGTGTATTACTGTGTAAATCTTACTTAATGAGAAATGTCGAGTTCACTTATAGTGACTAGCGCTACTCATATGACTGATTATTCTAATATAACATAGAGGAAACTATAATCTGAAGATATCATCTGGACTATCATTGAAGGACACTGTTATCAATTATATTTTTGCACATCGTGCAGCATTATGGCTATACCTCCCATGACAATAACAGGTATTATCTTCAAAGAATAACCGAGACAGCTGGAATGAAGTCAACTTAACTTACAATATTTTTGTATATATATATTCAGAATGAACGAAAACGTTTTGAAAATATCTTCATTAAAATACGAAGAAGATAAAAATTCGTAGTATGCCTGCATACTATAATGACAACCCTACAAGTCCAGCTCAAGTGATCATCAAAATCTAAAAACTAATGTGAAGATAGAGACTGCATACTACAGACCATTCTGCTTTCCTGTCCACCACTGGACCATTGGCTGGAAAGAAACCCAGCTAACATGGCTACCACTCACATAAACGTGAGTTTTTCTTCATTGCGTGGTTGTTATGAAAATGGGATAAACCTGCAAGTACATATTTCTATACAGATAACTGAAACCTGCCTATCCACTGTAAAAACGACAACCTTCAGCCTCTGACGATGAGAATCCATTCAAACATATTATTTCTATATGAACTTGTTCCACAACAAGCATAGGATAATTCGGAGTAGCTACAATGCTTAATACCTCAGTTTATATAATTGCAATATAAACTAGCATATGTTCTAAGTGCAACATGTACCACAAAATAAACATAAACAAATAAAATGCCATGATTGTGACACATTTCATTCAGCAGAATTCAACATGGTACATAAGAGTCAATAAAAACAGCAAACCTTCTTTTTGTAAGATACATAAGTTAGAGTTAATGGATTTCACTCTCTACAGACGACTTCATTCTCTTATGAATTTCAATCCAGTTAAACACATTCCTCACTACCCTCAATGTAATGTAAGCTCTCCCGTTACTTTTATCTTTCCAGTGAAAAACCCCAAATATTTCAACTTCCAAAAATGAATGTATTCTGTCACCAACATGGAAAAATAATGTCGGGTACGGTGTATCTTCCTATGATGTGGCACACTTTTCACTTCTTAGATTAGCGCGTTATATATTTCATTTTTTGCGTAGCAGTTGTATTCTCTGTGTATATTTTACAACACTCGTGAATAAATAAATGTGATGTGTAATGTCAGTGAACGTGTGCAACATCTTTCAAGGCTACATATTATCATATATGTTTATGGTAATCATAGCTGCTACGCCTACTAGCGTTATCTCGATAGTCGAGTTATCTGTAGGCTGTAGTCGTAACACCATAGTTGGTATATTCAACTCTCCCAGGGCATTAAGAAACAAATAATCACGCCTCCCGGTGTGACAGCAGTAAGTTTATGAACTTAAAACGCTAGAATCCTGGGTTTGATTCCCCACTGTGGACACAGCATATAGCCCAATATGGCTTTGCTCTACAACAAACAGTCAAAACAATAATTACAGTCAGAATTCAATCAAACTAAGACCTTTCAGTAAAATTCAAACAAACTAGAAAACTATTCGTGGTGTCTACTACATCATACATCAGTACCACTTGGGCTGACATAATTCAAGTGCAGTATTTGACAATAAAGTAGTTTTTGACAATTGCAAATACCTGCAGTTCAACTATTGTCTTATCATGCTGCCATCTAGGGATCAATCCACCCACTAAAGTCAGCATCACAAAGAACAAATACAGATAAAATCCAGTAAAATAGACTTTTTCAGTACGATTTATCACAACTTAATTTATCCTCTTTAGCAATCAGTATTACAGCTTCCTTATCGTACACCTGAAAATCATATACAAATTTTGTATATTCATACAAATTAAATTTTACATATTCATATGCAGAAAGAGATCATAAGTGGTTTTCAAATAAAGACCCTGCCAACAGACATAAAAGAAGTTCACTTGAAAGTGAGAATCACAGAGTCTATTTGTATTCAGATGTATTACAAGCCATATTGTCCATCATTACTAACAACATCAACTTTACTACCTCTACTATGTTTAAGTGACTGACACGTTGTTCAATCCGTTAATATAACCTGCTAGGAAGCCCAACTTGATATTCTGAAAAGTAAGCCATTTCGTTTAAGAAATGTTATCAAATTGCTAGCATTCGTTTCCAGTTGTGTCAACCTGTTGGTATTCAATACTTTATATATCTCCTAACTTTAGTATAATCCAACAACTCCCACGTGATATCTTTTACACATCTCACTGTAAATCATTACCAAATAGCCTGAAGAGTAAAGAATGCCAACTCATTTTATAGAGTAACCAATCATCTTACTGTTTTTTCTGACAGATAATCTCATTTTTTATAATCAGGGGGTCATCATTTGTGCTTCGGCAATCCTCCAGCGTCATTTCCTCATCTGACTCCTCACACACAGCCAGATAACTACTGTTTCTTTCTCCTCGTAAGCTGAGTAATACTCATACGATACAGTACTTTTGCTATTCTCTACCTCATTTGAGCTTCTCCACCTTTGAATTCTTGTTGAACCCGTACATAAAATGTTCATCCGTGATGTTCAACTTTAGGTTATCAATGCGCTCACCACGCTTATGCATGCCACGCTACCATTACAGCTCATACTATGATAAAATGAGCTGCCTGAGAACGAAATAAGGACAAATTTAACCAAAAGCAAATTGCATCTGTCCCGAAAACAAGTACCAAAGCCGTGCCCAGTCCATGATAACTAATAGCATGGATTTTCCACCTTCTGTAGTGATATAGAAAATTTAAAATTTTTGTTTATTAGTTTCCACATTGTCATGGCGAAAACACATGGTCCATAAAGTTGTTAATACTACTTTGTTCTAATTACTTTGTTTTTTTTGTTTTTTTTAGTAGACCACATCTCCTCTGCCTGCAAGGATATTTCACCATTAGATAAAGCCTTTGGTTAAATTGTTTGCACTGGAATATCATTTTTTGTCAAATTATAACAGTGACCAACATTTGACAAATAAACGATGCTGCCAGGGAACAGAGGTCACGAGGTGACGCTGTCCATTAGCCAAAGAAAAGGAGTTAATATTTTAGATTGGAGTGCACTTTCTTGGTTCACTTTTATATTCGTCAAACTACAGGAAAGACCAGCTTTCTTTTGAAAGATCATCGTGTTTAGTTTTGGAGTGTTCAATCCTGAGAGAGAAGAGGCAGTTAGGCTAAACACCAACTAAGATAGAAAGAACTGTCTACTCGTTCACAGTGGGTGCGTGTACTGGCTTTTCTGTATATTGCCTGAACAAAAAAATATGTTTGTTCAAAACGTGTTTTAGTTTCGTTATTTACAGAGTAAATGAATATTTCGGTCTAATTGTTTCACTCACAGAAATCCTTGTACATTTCATGGATGAACTCTGCCATTATTGCAGAATAATCTATCTGACACTTGTCGAGAAATTGGTCCCATCCGTGAATACCACATATGGCAACCTCAACTGGTTTGTTGATATGCAAATTAACCGTGTGTCAGTCAATGCAAACTTCAACCACTCCTTGTGGACATTGTAATATATCTGCTCTAAAGGCTGAGATCACATTCATTGAAAGCTGTATTTTTTGACAAATTGCTCCGAATGCATGTAAGCATGAAAAGTTTCAAAACTTTTGGTAAACTAAAATTGTTCTCTTTTCTAAGGCAAAAAGAGAGATGAGATGGTATTTTTTTAATATTTCTTCAAGTACCACACTTTTATAAAGCTCGATATCACTTTTATTTTTGAAACAGTTAACTTGTATGTTACGGCGCTCGACTCAAAATCTGTCGGTCGCGACTTCGAAACCCAGTACCGAACATGCTCACTCTTTCAGCCATGAAAGCGTTACAATGTGATTCAATCCCGGTATTTGTTGTTAAAGTGTGGCCCGAAAGTTGGTAGTGCGTGCTGCCGGTTTGTTGCATTTTTTGTGATTAGCAGTTTAAACTTAGAGACGGAGGCAAATAGTAGCTAGATAGTAGCGTTGCCGTAAATTAACTTTGAAATAATATAAATCGTTTTAATTTGTGTACTACCATGCTATTTCCTTTTTTTTTTTAACTTCACTAATTTATAAGGGTTATTTGATATTCATAACTAAACTATTATTGAAATATTGCACTAAGCTACAACAAAATAAATAGTTTTATGCAAATTGATTAATACAAACGTTGTTTAGTCTTCAATAATTTTCATTACGTTTTTTGTACCAATTACTCTTTGGTTATTCTTCAAATGTATTTTGCTAAATTTAACCAATTTCAAGCATTTTAACAAACGAATCTAATCCAATGCAAACACACATTTCTATACTGAAGAAGTCAAAAATCCAAGATTCAAAAGATGTAAATTAAATGCAAGTGAACAGGTATACATCACAGGCGCCTGAACAAGGGAGGGGGGAGTAAGTGAGCCTAGTCGCCTCATTTGTCGACAAAATGAAACGTATATGCGACAGGAAGAAAGAAGAGAATGTACAGCTCAAGCTGTGATTGCAACTCTGTGTCCAACTTTAAAACATGATACTCTTCACTTGTTATATGTAAAGTGACTCAAGTGTAGTGATGTCTGTTGTTCTGTTACCTGAGAGTGTTCTTTTTTTTAATGTCGAATTTACTTTCACGTTATAAATCACTATTCATAAACACGTGCCCCACTCCAACTGTAGTGTAGTCATTTGTTAAGGCAATGTTCCGTCTCCGTTTGTTAATTAATTTTCCGTAACTTC